GTACGCCGAGGGAATGGCTTCTACGGACAGGTTGTGACAGGGCGATGGCCAGAGAGAAACGCCTGTGCTCTGGGATGGGGAAGGGCCGTGCGGGTCTGCTCCTGCCATCACAGAGGTGAAGCTTTGCCACGGCTCTGAACCGAGAGCCGGGAGTCAGCCCCGGCCTCAGATGGGCCGCGCTGGGGCATCGCCGCCGGGTGTGCGAGGGGGGTGCGGTTTCATACCCCTTCTGTGCTCGTAAGGGGGTTGTGCTGGAAGCTGAGGCTGGGGAAGACCCACTCCAGGAGGAGCTGGATGAACCGTTGTGCAGCCCTCTCCTCGCCCAGAAGCTTCCCGAGGAGCTCTGCAGGCTCTTGGGGACCCACTTTGGGTGTCCCGTTCCCCTGCATGGAGGCATTTGCTGCACTGACCCCGAGTCTTAACTGCCAGAGAGGAGGCAGAGCTGTGGCTGGAGCTGGCACAATCCATTGTGAATCAGGCAGAGACAATATCCCACATCCTGGTGTGCTAGCACAGAAACAGACAACACTCCGAGCTGGCTCCTCTCTGCTCGCTGCCTGGCGCTGGCAAACATCACCCATGGGAAGGAATTCCTGAAATAAGCTCCTTCCTCTTTCGTAGAACTTGTGCTTTTTTAATCTGTGAATAAATACGGAGTTGATCCAACCCAAACCATTCTATGATCCTGTGACTTGGGTGCGAGCCTGAGAGGAGGAAAAGGCACAAAGTCTAATTTGATAGTGTTTAAAGTTCTTGGATCTCTCAGAAATCCTGAAGAGTATCTGTAAGTGGTTCCGTGCTAGCAGAAAACAGAGGTTATGGGTATTTAGAGGAAGCAGTGATGGTGGTTCTATCATACTTCAATGACACAGCTACATTACTTCTGCTGTACCCCAAAGAGAACAGCTCCTTGGTTTTGGCAGCATCTCCCTGCAGAGACAGGAGGTGTCATTTTGAATTCAGACCGAACAGGAGGTGTTTGGTTTGGGTGCTCAAGCAACTGGTTGCTGGTTGTACCAGCTGTTTTCTGCTGCGTGTCTGTTACCTGCCAGGCTTCAGCTTCTGTGTAATTCCTGGTTTTCTTCATCTCAGGATCGGCATGAGAGGACGAGAGCTGGTGGGAGGAGTTGGCAAAACGATGATGCAGAGCGGTGGGACGTTTGGGACGTTCATGGCTATCGGTATGGGAATCCGCTGCTAACCTCGAGCGTGGGTCCCACCCGGAGTGCCCCATCCAGCCATTCCTCCTCTGTACCATAATAAAATGTTTAGATACCTGGAAGCAAGAGCTCTTCATGAAATGGTGAAGCACCATCCTCCTCGCTCTGCTGATTGTAAACGTGCTTTCTACCAAATTTCTACTTTCCTCCCATCACAATGAGAATTAATAATCCTTTGTACGACATTAAAGTTCCTGGTTCACAGGTGTGAGCTCAGCGTCCACATTTCTCCCTTTGCTACATGGGCAGCTCCCATTCCCCACGTGTTCATGTGGAGCTGCTCCATTGCACTCGTGTTCCTGAGTCAAGGAGAGTTACTTTTTGGGTAGTTCCAGCTCAACTATCAGCTTTCTCTCCTCTTGCACAAATAGGTGGGTTAAGTCAGCCCCGTTTCCACGTTCCAGGTAATACAGGGCAAAAGTGAGGGACCCCAGATGGACTCAGGCAAGTCCTTGCAACCAAGAGCAAACCGCAGGAGCAGTTCCAGCCCCTTGTTCCAGCCAGCCCCGCAGCACATGGTGCAGGAAGCAGTCGGGGAAGAGCAGTTACAGGTACAGCCCTGCTGCAAGAGCTGGAAATCCTTAAATTGCAGGGAAATGGAAAACTTCCATCACTTGGCGATGGAAGCACAGGGGTGACCGGGACAGCAGATGTGGGTGATGTAACCTCCTCAGGCCTTGAGCAACACCGCTCCTGCAGCTCTGCCCTCAGGACAGACGTGTGCTTCTCTGCTCTGCAGGGCTCCAACCTCCAGCCCTGGTGAGGTGAAGGGACGACAGAAGCTGTGGTGGTTGCTGCCTCCATCCAGCACCAGGATCTGGCCGTGGCTCTTTACACTCCCTGGGCATAGGAAGGGGTCACCCATGGGAGCTGTGCTGCAAGGACACCGTCCCTCTTGCCTGAGCAGAAAGGTGTCAGGGAGAGGGGTCGCTCCCTGCAGCCCTGCCCACGGCCGAACTAGCACATGGTTAGTTCAGTGTTGCAATCTCCTGGTATTTGCCTTTTGAAACCAGGTTTATCTTTGCCCCTCCTCTGTTTCTGTTTAGGACAGGGTGGCAGCAGCAGAACCGGAGCCAACATCTGTATAACCTGGATCTAGTACAAGTGCCATTTCCCCAGTTTTTAAGGGAAAAAACACCGATCTGCTCCTAGAAGCCTGCACTGTCTGCTGGCACGTGGCTCAGTAACCTGAAAGTGGAAGTGTGCCAACAACCACCACGTTGAGCAGCACGACTGCTCTGAACAGCTCGTTTTACCCCAACTGGCAACTAAAAACCCACAACCAAGCACAACTAGAGATCAGCTTTGTTTGGCTTTCTTGAGCTGTGTCACACGCTCCCAGACGCCCTCTGGCAGCACATCCCCGTCTGCTCCCATGGCCCCTCCAGGACCGCCCAAGACCAGTGTGCAGCACAGCCACTGTCCCGAGGTGCAGCCCAGGTCACCACCCCTGCCCTGCCCAGCCCAGAGCCACCCATGGGACTCCACACCACTCCCAAACACTGCTTGTACTAGCAGTTAGAAGTGACAGAGAGGCAGGAAAGGGGTAGTGAGCGGATAACCAACACAGGCAGGCACCTGTGACACAAACCAACCAACATCTATTACTCCTCCATCCTCACATCTCATGACCATGTATGAAAGCTGGGGCAGGAAGGACCTGCAGCAGGCCTGAACCCAAGCATGAGCAGTCCCTGAACAGCCACAGCAGCAGGAACCAGCTCCCACTCTCCCCCCTCGGAGGGGTGACCTTCCAACCACCTCCCATTTCACAGCCCCCATCACACACCTCCAAGTCTAGCAGAGAAATAAAGCTTCATGAAGGCCTTTTTAAGAGAATTTTATTTGAGTGGTTCTTACAAAGATTGTTGCAATATGAAAGTCTTTGTTTGATAGAAATATCAAGCTGTCTTGTCAAACACACTGAAGTAACCCAAAAATATATTTCAGAGCTCACAGAGCTTAAAAAGAGCAAAGATTATATGCAACCAGAACAAAACACGTGTCTGTATTTCCTACCCATTTTCAAACTTGGCTGAAATCCTTCAGCTGTGCCCCACTGCAGACATAGAAACTTATCTGGAAATGCAGAGATCGTTTTGTTTGGAAACTTAGACACACCTCACACAGTATTTACAGAGAAACTTTTACAGATACATTAATCAAAAGTTACCATCAAGAAATAAAACCCTTCAATCTTTCTAATTCTTACCAATTATTCAGCACAAAGCAAGCTGAGTGGCTGCCTAGAGTCAGCTTTCAGTAGCCTGTTGAATCTTCCATTTATACAAAACACTAAATATGTCCCTTCAGAACGTCTACCTCTGATATTAACCCTTAGCAGATCACCTACATTTAGTGAAGTGTAAATGTAATTGCTGCATTAAAAGAAAGGCTTTGTGAAACATTAAAAATGTCATTATGTCCCATCTGCCTTTTACAGAGAACTTGTTTTCTATGAGCTACTTCTCAGTTCCTATGGATCACCTTAGTCAATGTACAAGAATTACAAGGCAGAACAAGAAGTCAACAGCTTTGTATACAGTGGAAATGCTAGTTAGGGAGAATGAACACACTGCATTTCTGCTTACTTCATTTTATTTTTAAAGGTAGCAGGAAGTGTACACAAAATGACATTAAATCCTTTCCTTTAGTTTTATCTAAATAAAAGATAACTCAATCTTCCTCCAAAAAATAACTATGTACAAAACTGACTAAATCCATCTTCATCGTCGAACAGGAACCAGTAGTTGGGTTGCAGTCATAGAGTCTGGGAAAAGGCTATGGTACGTTGGAAGAGGTACATACGCTGCTGTAATCATTTTACCTGATCAGAAGATAGAAACATAAACATCAGTATTCGGCCATTTCTGCAGTTTAACAGCTCAAGGTTTCTCTGTGTGAAAGCCACTCACCTGCAAACCACCTCCCGTGCAACGCATTTACAGCTGCAATGGCAGCGGCGATCGAAGGACATTTGACGTACACGTTGCCCTGTAATACAGAAGGGTCAGAGCTGTGAGAAGCCTGAGGAGGGTCCAGCATCTCCTGTGCTGAAGAAAAGGCTGTGGCAGAGGCAACTCTGTTGCTCCACCCTTACCACGACCACCCCGTAACGCAGAACGACGTGAGAGAACAGAGCAGCAGGACTTTACTGATGAGTTACACACTGTTAACCTTGGCACGAAACTTCTCTGAATAGCAGTTTGTAAAGCAGAACAAACGTGTGCTTGACCCAAAATGAACAAGCAGTGATTGCTCACTTGCTCAGACAACCCTCCACGGAGAGCAGCTAATGGCTGGTGCAAAACAGAAGCAGGAGGAGTTTGGCTACCTGTGCTGCAGGCCAGGCCCCAGCTGTGCAAGTCACCAGCCTGAACCACACTTAACTGCACAGGCAAGTTCACAGCCTGGTTTATAAAGGGATGAAGCACTCTCCAGGCTGGAAGGATGTCTGGCACTTCGAGGACAACCGATACTGTAATTCTCCTACATGAATTTCAGCATCTGCCTTTCTTGAACAAGGACTGGGACAAAGGGGTAGAACCTCCCCCACAACAGGGCAAGAAGAGCCTAAGACAGTATGTACCATGAGTGACAGACTGATCTTTTAACTGAGGTTTTCCACCTGCACCTAAGGCTCCAAACCAGCCTAATTCAGTGCACTGCAACACTCCCGTTCAAGGCACAGCCATCCAGTTATGTGTATGCATTATTCTGGCTGCCTGCTTAAAGAGAGACTACTACCAGTAATTCTTGAACCAGATCAGATTCTAACTGAAACAAGATTTTACAGGAAAAGAATATATTAAGAAACAGAATCCAGTCTTCTCTTTAGCAGCCTCTGCGAGCCAGGACTAACTCTTCCCACTGTGATCGAACTCATTCCTTCTCAGTGGCAAACTTGAGATCAGGGGCTGACAGTTGAGGCACTAAGCAATTAACACACAAAGTTGTTTTCTCAGCCTCCCCCTGCAGGGGCATCCGAGCTGCTGAAGCCTTGACATGAGATACTGCACATAAAGCTTGAGCTTTCCCTAACGTATCATAGTCTTTTCATCCACACCAAATCCCATCTTCACGGCTGACTGACAGCCCTTAGCCTGGCAAGTCTGGGAAAGAGCCCCGAAGAGATGGGATATGGGAACACTCAAAAGGTAACACGACCAGAATCTAAGCCTGGAAAACGGAGCAGCACAGTGGGAACTCATGTTCAAAGACAGGATTTTGAAGTATCAGTGGGTATTTTATATCTGGGTCACCACCATGCTACTGTGACAGAGGGGACTGCATTAGCCAACAGCTACAGTAGCTGTAGTTTTTCCTTTTAAACCAGATTTGCACCTTCATTTGCTCAGAACTTATGTGAGGTATGTTGAGGGCTGTTGCGTCTTTGGGCTTGGCAGGATGGTGGGTTTTGGAGGGTTGTGTGTTGGGGTTTTTTCTGCTGTTGGGCTCTACCTGTCAAAGGACACTTCGTTTTCTCTGAGGTAGTAACAGCTAATACACCACATCTGCCTCCCACCAGCTCAGCAGTGCCACACAGCAGTGATCCTCATGATTCGGAAATGCAAGGAAAGACTGGATGTGGTTTTATGGACCCCACAGCACCTCATCTCCAAACTAACAACTCAGGAACCAGGCATACCTGAGCTGAGTTTTTGTCTACATAGATGTGGATAACTCCTCCGTGTTTGTTACATTCCTCAATCACATCATCTTTAATTTCTGTATCCCAGCCAGCTTCTTCTTCACTGTAGGGGGTGAAGGAAAGACAGGACAGAGATGAAATTGTTATCATTCAAAATTCACCCCAAAACCCATCAAAAAACCCTCTGCCACATTCCAATCCCTTACTCAGATGTTAAAGTCATCAACAAACGGCAAACAGAAACAGACCATGATAAATCACTTACGTCTGAGGATTAAACATGTTGGAAAGCTGGAAGCACTGTGTTGCAAGTGGTTGTACTGAAGCAGCTGCAGCCAGAACTGTTGTAATGGAAAAAAACAGTAACAGATCTAACAGTAACCTGCTCTGCATGGCTCCAATTTAAATGAGTATATTCTGTGTTTTAAAAAATCACAACATTCACCAAGAACAGTTGTAACTAAACAGAAAATTGAAGGCAGAAAAGCCAATTTTGTAGCTAGACACTATCTGTGATAGAGCAATTCTAAATTAATCAATACAGAAAATAGCACAACTGCAGCTGAAGCTGAGAAGTGAACAGTTAACCCTGTACATGGGTTTTGGCAGGTCTTCAATGTAAATATTTAAATGCATCTTGAATGCATCTAAAACTTCTGCCCAAGTTGTGTGCCAGCAGCACCTCCCGTTTTTATTCCTCATGGAAGCCAAGCAGGATGAAGTGGCACCACCCCACTTGGCTCCACAGGAAGGGACAGACCTTTCAAAAACAAGTATATCCCTACTTTTGCCCCTTGGAAACATGTAACATAGGAAATACTTGACAACTAAATGTACAAATATTTTAACTGTGCCACAGCTCTGTACTCTTTGCTAGTAACTATGAAATTATTACTTGTCATTTATTGTTGCTCATCATCACAGTGCACCTACTGAAGGTAAGCACTGCCCTTTCCACCGGCTGTAAGCTTCTAGTAATTCACCTGAAGTAACAGCCACCTTCTCTCTCCATTCAGGGCTGCACAGCCAGGGTAGGATGATGCCTAATCCAGGGACAGAGACCCCAAACTCAAATGACCCTTCTATTCCTTAAAGGCAGAAACAACCCCACACCCAAACCCACAAACAAACCCACACTTTTTTAAGGACTAAGGGACGGATGGGGAGCATTACTAACACTGAGGACATGCTACGAAGAAAAAGTATTTAACATACATTGTGTTTTCCAGTCAATAATCAGACTGAATTCCTACAGACACTAATACAACGCAATTTCTCAGGCTGTTGCCAAACTCTACACCAGAAGCATTTCACTTATAAACGTCTACAACAAAACCCACTGGGGACAAGTCACATCAAATGCTATTTACCTTCATTCTGCTGAGATAGTCTCGTTTGCAAATCTAAAGAAAGAATACACAAAGTTTGTTAGTGTGTGTGCATTACTGTGTCATCACCTGCCAGCCAGGCTGTACAGCTCTATTTCTGTGGTTACGAGCTTGTTCAAGCACCACAACCCACTCTCACTGCTCCTCTCTAGTTGTGAGTAGTTCACTAATTTCAGCTACTCAGCTGGAATATTCTGTACTCAATAGAAATTCCATAACCACAGAGGCAAGCACATTTCAAAGAGAAACAATACCTTAAAAGCAAAGACATGACCGTGTCCCTTAATTCAACATAGCATTTCCACCTTGCCTTTGCTGCGCTTGAACTCTGTAAGATGTATTTTGTTCCATGAGAAAATAATTACAGCAATTCTTACAGGCATTGGGAGTTTGGCATCTTTACTAACAGAAAGCTTTCAAGCAAAGAATTGTCCAAACACCACACTCTGAAAGCTGTCAGCAATTTCAAGTAGAATAAGGTGGTGTTTCACCTGTTACCTGTCCAAATAAATGTTATAATGACACAAGTTACTTTGGTGTTTTTCAAATGCAAAACATTTTCAAGTGTTCAGAACATTTAATTTGCCCAAAAAAACCCCACAAATTTCTTGTTTAACAACATGGAGCTCTCCCAGTTTGAAGTAATGGGAACAGACAAATGCAGACTTTCTAACCATTTGCAAGTATGACTCAAATACTTGTCACCTTTAAACCAACAGAAAACTCCACAATGCAGGAAGTGTCAGCATAAGCCCCTCACTTCCAATTTAATTCACACAAATTCTAACTTAGTTAGAAGATTAAAGTTAACCATTGTCTTTTATTCACTTGTTTAGAAAGCAGTTGGACCCAAGTAAGCTTCCTAGCTTACCTGGAAAGACCCAAAGCTGCCAGGTATCCTTTGGGATACTTTTTCCCTACTAAAACCTCCTCCAAAACACTTGGGAGCCAACATGAATGAGTATTTTTGCTCTAAGTATAAGGCAGTGAGAGCTCTGCCTCACTGAGGAAGTCTTCCTCATGTGCCTTCCCAAGTGACTTCCACAGATCTCCATGTACTGGGAACTATACTGAAAACAAGAGATGGAAGGAGTAAGCTCGGAAGGCTGAACCATAACAGGAATTGGCTATGTTTAGCATGTTTTCCACAGGGATCTGAACATAAAGAAATCCTCAGCTCCATGGAGTGATAAATACTGGGGAAGACTGTCTTAGCCTGTATTCTCTGCAGAAACAGCACCGATTTGGCCAGATCTGTAGCTAATTTCACCTAGTTAATCACTACCTAAACTTATCTGCAAGCATTTTAGAAACATTAATAAACCCCCAAATCTCCTAAATCCCTCAGGTTAGACGAGGACAGAAACATCCCCCTCTGCAATTCTGACAACTGCACACGTACACCCTGTACAGCTGAACTGTGTCAGTGTCAGTCAGCCCAAGGCTCTACAGCCAAATGCTCCAGGACACCTGCACCAAATGTGGCAAATCTACACAGATCACCAGTGCAAGCTCTGTTTAGAGCCTGGAGCCAAATCTAACACATCTGCTACCAGCACCTTGCAGGAACAGGTCTGACAGGTTTATCTGAAACATAAACACTGTTCAATCAAGTAAATGAATCTTCTTTTTGCTCAAGATTGAAGAATGATCCTCTCTCCTCTCGCTTCTAAATTCACTTGGAATTTAGGAACTCACTGTTACTCTTTACTGTCACCTCTTAATCTTCCCTACATGCAGCTTTGAATAGTATGTATAAACTAAAATTAACACATCTGTCAAGTTAGGATCAAAGTACCTTTCTCACTACGTTCTGTATATATAATCTGTTCAGCATGACTGCAAAGTACATGCTTAGCACAGAGAAAGCAGAAATATCAATGAAAGCATTTTGTGTCATAAACCAAAATGAAGTTGCATCTTTATTCAAAACACAACTAGCTTTTAATAAACTACAGCCTGCCAAGCATTCTTCAGTTTTCAAAGTAATTAGTTACAACAGAACAGCAGATCAGAGAGAGGTCATGGATGATGACACCTATTTGTCCTCTACTGCAGGCACTATCTCATCTTTTTCATGAACAGATAGTTCCTTCCCAAAAGTAAGGAATATTCTGTGTCACGAAGCATGAGAAGAAAGTTCTATAGCCTCCTGGTTATTTTAATTTCCAGATTTTCATATCATGTTTAGTGAAGAGCAGAAAGTACAAGCTACAGCTCTTTAGCTTCAATTCCTTTTCCTCCTGGAATCTTCTCCATTGGAATAACCTTCAAGTCTTCAGGTCTCCTGTAAAACTAGTTCTTTAGTTTTGCTTAACCCCTCTTGAACACAGGTGACCAGAACTGTTCATCAACATGGACTTTACATCTGAGCTGCTCAGGTGTGCTACTTTGAGGAACACAGCTGCCCTTCCAAAAAAGCAGCACACTGACAGCTCATATTCACTCACTGATGAACTGGATCTATTTCTTCCTCTTTGCTGTCTTTCACTGCTAAGCTCCCAGGCTATACAACTAGAATTTGTTTCAATCCTAAAAGGTGAACAATGTACAACACCCCAAGAATCCCTTATCAACAGCTCCTCTGTATTTACTCACCTCACTCATACTTTTGTTGACTACTGTTATTCATGTAAATATTGAAACAAGATCAGCCCAACACCTGAATTTTGGCTTCAACAACAGCCTCTGACCTTCCAAAAATGACAGTTCCTCTTTCTTTGAGCCAGCTTTTTCACACATCTTGTACTTCCTGTACTACCCACTTCTAAAGTTTGGTAACTTTCTAAGTGATACATATCCTTGTGCAGGAAAGTCAGTTTTATCAAAGACTGTGAGTCTTTAAATGCAATTCACCTGAAGTATGCTGTGCTTTAATAATATTCTCCAGTATACCCATCTTTAGTATGGCTTTTGAAGGAGAGAAGTGAAGACAGAGTAACAGGACTGGAAACTGGACAGGTTGTGGTGTTCCTCCTTCAAGTGCAGGTAATTTAGATGTTACAGCTATGTACTGTATCACAGACTTAAAATATTTACTGACAATACCAGATATCAAACCTCATATTTCATGGACCTATTCCCTCACTAACTTGATGGGAGTTTTCTTACTACATTCAGATCCTACTTTCAGCTTTGCTTCTACCCTGTGAATGATTTTTTTTTCATGTTCCTAGCTTACCATCCTCAAATTCCAAACTTTAATGACCAGTGTCCCCACTACAAACTGAGGCAATGAGACTCTTCTGGAACACTTTGGGAGGATTTTTTCATACAACCTCACCCCTGCTTCCTTTTTGTTCTCTTCAGGAGTTGGGAAATCTTCATCTATGCTTTCGTGTCTTTTACAAGGCCTAATTCAAACTGACTTAGTAGATAATTCTCATTTTTACTATTTCCCAAACTAAAAATATGGGTTTATTATAAGTCCTTTTTCCTCTTCTTCATAGGCTCTGAGCTTATTCCTTATTTCTTTTGAGGTAGTTAATCACCCAGTTCAGTGTGGAGCCCATTTCTAACAGGACTGTTTCTTCTTTCTGTGGAATACAGATCCAATATAGCATTAGCAATTTGGAACTGAAGACACTTTTTACATCCTCACTGTTCAAACACCCAAGTTCTTAGACCAGATGACTCTATGGCCTCGCTTCTTCAAACACCACTTTAGAAATCAGAAGCCTTACAGACCTGCTCATCCTTCCATTTAAACTTGAGCAACTCATGATCCCTCAAGTCAATGGTCATTTCTATTCTCATCCGTAATATCTTCATTACTTACCAAATTGAGTTTAAAATAGCATCCCCTCTTCATGAGTCAGTGAGTGTTTGATGAAGAAATTTGTCGGATATCACATCCAGGAATATCTGGGCCCCACCATTATTACTAGCAATTCTTCTCCAATCTGTATCAGGGAAGTTAAAGTCTCCCACAATGACATAATTCCTGGTAGTAATTTTCTCTAACAAGAGTAAAGAGATCTTTAATCCATAACCAAATCTCACTTTGGGGATAGCTCATGACTATGGTAGTAAAAAGCTTTATCTTTTTTCCAAAGTTACTTAAGTTGCACGTCTGCATTACTCCTTTTGTACAATACAAGTAGAATAAACACCTCTATTTCTACCACTTTCATTTCTAGTTACTGAACATGCACATTCCTCAAAACCCTGTATATGGCCTTATCATTTTTTCCTCCAGAGCCATGTTGTCTCACACTGATTCCATGCTATCCCCTAACAGTTCAGCTGTGTCAAACATCTTCACCCATGTTCCTGATTTGGGGGTTTAGATTTGTTTCTAATATGGGGGTGGGAAAAGGATTGGTGTTTTTATTTCTCATTGACTATACTTGTTTCTAAGCAAGACTGTCACACCATCATCACCTACATAAAAGGACATCTAGCTTTAGTGCTGTTAACTTCTTCCTGGACTTGATACACTTTTTCCTTGCCACTGTGTCTTTTTCATCTTTTTCTTCTCAAATAGGAAAAAACCTTATTCCTCAACCTACACTTCTTTTTTAGTTGCCAGTTCCTTTTCCTTCCATGGGTGTATCTATAGAGAGTCCCTACTGTATTCTTCTAGCAACTGTCTACAGCTTCATGTGTATGCTCTTTTCAAAACTGCACCTGAACAACTTCAGTAACATGATTCAGGTGTATCTTAAGTCTGAACCACTTCTGTCACAAACTCTGCTGGAGGACAAACAGAACAATGTCCCCTGCTCTTTGCTGTTTTCGTGACACATCTCTCACCTTCCAGCATCTAGTTATTTGTGACACTCAAGTCTTTTCTACTGCTATGACAGTTTCGTGCCCTTTGTTCTTGTATTAATAAAAAATTACAAGAAGAAATTCCATTCTGTAAATTCCTCAACTCCTGGGTTACTCATTGCTCTAGTTCTGAAGCCCTCCTGAAGAGTTTGCTGTTTAGGCCAGTTATGACCTAGCAGCAGCAACCCTATCTTCAACCTCATTCCCTCTCACAACATAAGGTCTCAGTAACACTTCCAACATACCCACCTGCAGAACACACAAACTATAGCCAATTCCAAGCAACACACAAATTCCCTTATATACAGTGTCCTTCCTCACCAGGACACACACTCTATGAACCTAACACTACAGCTCTGTTTTTTCAGAGGGGTCAATGTCCTTCTAGTTATAAGCCTGCCATTTTTAACAGTCAACATTTGCACTGCAGTAGAATTAGTACAGGGAATAGTAAAGATAAGAGATGAAGGGGCTGGGGATGGATTAAGTGAACTACAACAGATTTGCAAAAAAATAATGCAAGGTGTATCACTCCTAAAGCTGTCATATACTGTCACTGTTGGAGTTCATGGATCTGCACTGTTTTACAGTTTGTAAAACATGTTGCAATACCTACGTTCCCATTTTGAAAGATCACCATATGTATATAAGCGCCTCTTGTCTCAAAACTATAAAGCATAAAAGTATTTTTGAAGAATAAATAGGTAATTTCTTACCTGCCACAGCTCCAAATGCCAGAGACCCGCTCATCTGCAGTGCCTGCTGTGCAGCTGGGGGAATCTGCAAACCAGTACCTACAAGAGAAGATGAATGTAATTTGTAGAAGCGCTTTTCACTCAGGGATGCAGAAATCCTACTCTTGTTAAAAGCTTAAAAATACCATTTCATGCATTTAGCATAATATTCTGTGGGGTGTGTTAATTCCAATCCTGCAAACTTCTGTATTTTCCCACATTTCCTGTTAATCATAACACATACCTTCTGCAAGTCTTGCCATCAACTGAAGGCGACCAGTTGTTCCCAAGTCAATTCCAGTCCGTTCCAACTCATCACTGTCCAAAAATGAACTGGCACTGGAAGCGTCAGTGCGCTCAGTTACGTGCCCAACTTTCATTGGCCTACCAGCCAGCTCAAATCCATTGAGTTGTTCCAAGGCCTTTTTGGCACACTCGGAGTCTGAGAACTGTAGATTGGAAAAACATCAATTCAGCAATACAGTCTACAGGATTCAGCTACACAAACATGAGAAACACCAAGTTTTAGATAACAGTAACTACAAACTAACTTAAGTGTGCTTCATGTTTTCCATTTAAACCAAATACATACAGGTTTGGATATTTACTTTCCCAAATTTAGATAAGGATTATTACTGTTGAGGCTAGAGCATCCAGATATTGCAATCAACACAAGACATGGCTGTGGCTCTCTTCCAACACCTTCCAACAAAGAGTCACCTCCTTTGTAACCTCTAACTGCCATGCATTTACTGGCTATTCCTAACAGATGTTCTATTTTATGCTGTGTAACATCTAATTAAATATATAAATATTTTGTCAGTATTAAACTCATCAAGTATGGGCTATATAGTTCCTTCGGTTTAATTTGTCTCCAAGTGCCAGAGGACCCATGACAAAATGCCACATCAGTCAATAAACCCAAGTTCACAGAATTATGTATCTGAGGGTAAAGAGGAAAGTTGTTTTCAATTGCAAGTTGAAAATGCCAGTCTTTATTGACTATTATCTTTACCTACAGAAGACAGCACTGCTTTATCAGGCACTGACACAAAGTACATTATTCCATCCTAAACATATGCATTGTTCAACCACAGCACCCACAGAGAACTGGCAGAAACAAAGAAAAAGGCCACTGCTGCATGTCCTGCAATGTGACATTTCTAAGTTGAGACTTAACAGAGATTGCTAAGGAGGCTTCCTACTACATGGGAAGGTTACATTAAGAATTGTCTAAGTAGTCTGACAATACCAGTCATACCGTAATAAATCCATATCCTTTTGAGCGTCCAGTTTCACTGTCCATCATCAGCTGAATGCTTTCAATCTAAAAGTAAAAAGAAAGCTATTTACTATCATGCCTTTTGGAACAAACTACAAAATATCAAACCAAAAGCTGAATACAGCCCTGCCCCATATACACAAATGGAAGTGACATCAGTTCCTCATTCCTTCCTCTAATCAAATGAGTGTATAGGGAGCTGGCTATGGACTTTGATACTAAACCAGCAGGGTGATGCACTATTTGTCCTTTATGATCATCTACAGGCAGAAGCTTGGTCCTGATGCAACATTCTAGCACGCAAGGAGCAAGCAGACATCACCAAACCCTATCCAGAACATTATAGTCATGGCATCTCATAGGCTGAGGAACTCCATTTCACAAGGTAAGAGAAGCAGTTTGCATGAGTATGACCAGGAGCTTTAAGAAAAAGGTGCATATTTTAAATAATTATTGACATATGAGCACTTTTACATTACAGTTCTCAATTTAAAACATACTACTAAGTCTTCCATGAGCCATAAAATGGTCTTGGGAAGAGACAGCAACACAGAATTAGGATGTGAGAGTTAGACTGGAGTACATAGAATCAGTAGAAGAAAAAACCTTCACTGCTCTACAAGTCAGTCTCCTAAACTACATTAATCCTACTGCTAGACCTTGAGAGGAAACAAAACAAGGACAGGTGGATTCAAATTTAATAAACTGCTGCAACTTTCCAGGCTTCTTCTGAATTCAAGAGCTACACATCCTGAATCTGAATAAAGCATCTGAAAAGCACTGTTACAGTATGTATGAGGCGAGGTTAATATCCAAAAATAGTATAAAAGGAACATCAATGGACTTGATGCATCCTTATTTTTTTTCTTCCATCACACAGCATCTTAAGTATATTACTTCTTCCCTACCTAACAATGATATACTCATGACACCTTAGTTAACACAACAGGGTAACATTTATGATGACTCCACTGAAAACTTCTAGTCTCTGTACGAAAACATATTACCATGCTGTAAAGTGTGGCTTAATGATCAAGAGTGAAAAGGGGCCAGTGGCAAACTGTATGGGACAAACTACCAATGCATGTTCATAACACGAGCTAAAACTTAAGCAAAAATCCTCAGAAACAGATGAAACTACTATATTCACAGCAAAGAGAGCTCAGATCCCATCCTGTGCTTTGTGCTTTAAGCTGTGAAACAGGGCCTCCCATTCACAATCATGTCAGGGAAAATATTTACAAGCTGCAGAAGCAGGATATAATGTAGGAATTTGTGGGTTTTTTTGTTTTGTAATTTTAGGTACTCACTGAATTCTCAGCTCTCCTTCATAAAACCTCCCATTCAAAAACCAGTGGAGCACATTACACACCAAGGTTCTCTCCTCCAATACTAACAATGTATTTAAAGCTTTGTGGATGTACAGGAACAGAAGAGCAGGAAAAAGCAACAAATGTTTTGCAGGTGTGAAGCTGAATTATTTCCAGAAGCTGCAAGTACTCTACAACTAATCTGGGTTTTTAAGATAAACTACCACCAAATGAAAATTTACCCTGCCAAATGGCTCAAAAATTCCTCGCAGCATATCTTCAGTTATGTTGAAGTGTAATGATCCCACATAGAGCCTCATAGGACCAGCACTGCCCTTCTGCAGATTATTTGCCATTGCTGCTGCTCTGTTTTTCTCTGCCTAAGGAAAAAAGAAAAACCTTCTGTAAGAATTTAATAAAATCCTTTAACATTAGCAGTACACACCTACCAGATACACCAAAACATAAAAGCTGGTTTATAATCTGCATGCTAACCACTGGACTTTAAAACCTACAAAATCCAAGCCCATGACCCAAGTAGAGAGAGACAACTTCCAAAAGTCTTCAAATTGAACTACTTCATGCAGAATTCTGGCTTCTACCTAGTGCATTAACAATTTGGTTTTTACATATGCTGGAAAGCATACAAATATACACTACAATTCTGAACACTATTACTGTTTCACTGTTACTGTCTTCTTAACTTCTGGAGTTTCAAAACGCATTTATATCACTTTGAATTCCTCTAATTTGCCTGTCAACTATGGGAAAGTCCATTTATCATTAGCTTAAACAATCATTTTTGGTAAAGTTTTCCAAACATTCAACAGTAACCGAATTTTCCAACAGTAAAGTCTTCCTACAAGATAAAAGAGGCACTGCTCAACATGAATAAAAATGACATTTACAACTCCTTACCTGTGATGCTTGTACTATGATTGGTACACCCAAGACTCTCTGTCCAGTTAATCCTATTGCCAGTGGCACTGAACTAACATCAACGAATTCAACATATGCAATTCCCTTTGAACGCCTGGAATTCCTATCTGAAATCATTCGCACATCCCGAACCTGAAAGGCAAGAACAGAAATCCTGGTAAAGAACCTGATGCAGTCCATTTTTCCAGTAAGGAATTAATAACCAATTGTTTGCCATGTCCATGGTTTTGTAATTATGCTGCAAATCTAGAGCAGCATAAAGCTATCTCAAACACATTCCAGAGACAAGCTAGCATTAAAAGCTGCTACTGCAAGTCAAACACAGCATGCTACAGGAAAAAGGACAGCACAATACTTGCAGCACTGTAACACTAAGCCAGACCCTTGCAGCTGATGGAACAAGTCAAGTTTTTCAAAATCAAAAGTTAAATAAGTTTTTAAATGACAGGAAAACTGGCAGAACTATCTGTAGGAGAATGAAACATCTGGAAAATGAAGCTGTTTGAATCAGAACTGCATTGCCAGGGTTTGCATCACATGCTGAGCAATGAACTCCTGTTAAATTATATTTTCATGTTCAGAGCCTCTAAGAATTAGTTGCTCATCATTGATTCCCCCTTTATCCTGTACAGGAAGCTCCAGAAAGCCACTTACTTAGAATTCTGTAGAATATTAATCTGTACCAGGACATAGTGAGGAAGCATTTGGAAACATTTTAACCTCCCTATTAATTACCTTCCCTACTGTAGAGAAAAATTCTTCCAGGTCTCTTGGTCGAATTCTTGCAGCCAGCTGCATGCAGAATACTGTTCGAGCATCCCTCTCCTCAGGAGTAAGATTATCAATAGGTTCTCTGGAAAGAGGAAAGTTCAGTTAAAAAGTAATACGAATTAACTCATCTCTGGACCATGTATGAAACTTTAAATAACCAGTACTTTAAAGTCTGGTGTGGCAAAAAATTCCTGCCGTATTAAAAAAAGGGCAGAGTCAAGAACTGAAGAGAATGCCTGGTATTACTGTAATAATACTTATTTCATTAACACAACTAAGCATGCTTCAACTGTAAGCACTAAATATGACTGGAAAAATATATATTAAGTACAGAAGCCCCAAGTAAACAGAGGTGCCATTTTGCTACTATCCTGAAGAGGTAACAGCACCCCTAGGAAGCTTGCAGTCAGAAAGATGAGATGAAAGGACTGGAAAACAAAGGAAATGTTGGAGCCTGCACTGTGTTTCCAGTCATGTAGTAGGTACTTACAAATATTAAAATACTGAGAATACACAAGAGAAGTTTAAACTAAATTATCTAAGGAAGAGTTTGTTAATAATTAAAAAGAAACAAAGCAAAATTGGTTAAATTTAACTGCATTAGTTTAAGAGAATAATCTCATTAGCAGCAATCTAAATCCAATTCCCTTAAATGAGAAGCCTAAGAATGGATAAGCACCTCCTGGATTTCAAAGATACTTGGATGCTCTACAAATAACATCACTACATACTGGATAGGAAAAAAAGCATTTGTGCAGTACTTTTCCATTCTGTACTTAAGATTCTGAAGTATGATTTAGCAAAAAAGTTAATTTAAATCACAACAGGAAAAAGCTTGAGAACACAGAAACACAAAAAGCAAAGCAAGGTATATTTTGCAACTGACATTATTTCAAGTGTGCACTGTTACTGGGGGAGGGGAAAAGAGTTTGACATGGGGAGAAAACAACATCTTTTCAATGCTCTCCTCTTAGGGGCTATCTGAATGAAATCCAGCATTAGTTGTGAATGTAAGCTGGAGAGCAAGTAATCGTGCATTATTTCACCATGACTTTTCCAACTTGAACTGAAAGCACAAAGCAAACCAAACCCCACCACAAACATGTAAAAATTCCTACCTAACAGGGCTCTTGTCTTTCCTGAAGGGACTTTTGCTTCTGGAGCGCCGTCTGCTGTGAAGAGATCAACAAGATTATTAGAAAACCTTCAAATACATCAGTCTTATTTTAAGCAGATGCAATAAAAAGAAAAAAAAACTTAGCAACCTTAATTTGATGCTGTGAGGCAGACCAATCTTCCCTCTGATGGCACTGTTGAATTTTGGACCAGAACTACGGCAAAAGCAAAGACAGATGTTACTCACTGGAGTATGTAGTTCACCACCTCCTGTCTGTGCTCCCACTCCAATGAATTACTCACCCAACCTCACACCTGAACTTGTGAACATTTTCCACTAGCAGCACCCTTCGCATGCGTAAGCTACGTGCAGCACTCCAAACTGTAAGGCACAGGCTATGCTTCCTGCTCAGTTTCAACTGTGTCACAAAATCCCAGAATAGGCAGGACTCCAAGGAAGAATCAAACCACGGGTCAGCCATTCATGGAACATTTGCATGTGCAAACTGTTCTGAGCTACAGTCACTGCTGTAATCTTCCTGACATGGCTTTTTTTTGTCCACATATATTTTCTACCTACTGCTGACTGCAAAGCAGCACCTTAACAGCCTGGAACTCAACCTCAAGAGTTTTGAGCAGTTTGTGGTGATGACAGGACTATTCTCTCAAGTGTAACATTTTAAAACAGGAGGTTTCATGAAATTTAAGGTGCAAGTGGAAAGCAAAGCAGCTCCCTGCAGACATCTGCAAGGGACACAGTCATTAACACTGTCTCAGCTTGAGCCACATGGTGCAAGTATGCAAATGCAGCTTCCTTCAAGTAAAGTTCTTACTAGGACATCAAAACACAGAACCATCTAAGCCAGCAGTTAACTTTATATAGACATGTCACCACAGAAGGAATCCAATCTCCTGGCTGAAGCTAATTTTAGTTCTCCAGGCGTCACAGAAGCTATCAGAACACATGGCAATCTGCCCACTGCTTCCACAACGAGGACAGTCCTCTTGCTAGTTACTGTGGCACAGGGTAACAGTCTGTGGCATGAGTAGAAAGATTCAGCCTATCTTGATCTCCCTGAACTTGATCTCCTTGTAGATACAAGGCAAAGAACACCACCTGTTCATGTTCCTCCTGTACATCCACTGAACAGCAGAGGCACTGCTCACAGTCTGAATGCTAGGGACTTAGTCTTTCCATCTGCAGACTTGATTCTTTCTGCTGTGGCTATAAATTGGTATGAAAACACCCTGAAAGACACAGCAGGCTGAAAACATTAAGTAGTCTTTCACAAAATCCATTTAAGCCAACCAATTTGTCTGACAGACATCATCTTGCTACTCCGTGGAGCAGGACTGCTTATAGTTAAACTCAGCATCCACAAGGAAGATGATCATTTTTAAACATGTCATAACACAGGTGGAAGTAGTAGGCCAAGACCTAAAACCATGCTGGTCAGGTTAAAGCAGGGGAACTATGGTCCTGTGTAACACTGGAAAAAGAATAAAGAAAAAAAGACCATTTAGACACTACTTATTAAGACAAAAGATGACACAAAACCAGGCACATGTTGAGACAAGGTCACTACTCATCAAAACCAGACTTTTGCCTACGATAAATTACTCCATTTCCTACTCCAGTTCAGACAAACGAAAGCTGAGTGTTTCCATTCAGGTTCTCCAATGTCCACCATGCATCTTGCCAAAGCTGCAGCTGGAAACGCTGGTACTAATTCTAGAGGCTGGCTTCTTAGCAGAGACAGGCTTACTGTGCATCTTCACACCTCCTGATGTAAAACAAGGCGTTCTCCATTTCAAATGTAGCAAGACAAACCAACGACAGCGTTCCAGATTATTAACATGCAGACAACTAAGTGATGGTCAATAATCAAGAGCATGAGTTTAAGTGAACAGTGAAAGAAATGTTTTAAGTACTTGTTCAAACGTAATAAAAACCCCTGAGAAGATACACAAGAACAGGTTTCTCAAATACATGCACAACTTCCAAGGGAGGAAAAAAACCCGCAACCCACAACAAACCACAACTCCAAAAAATCTCTTTTCCATTTTAACTCTTGACAAATAAGTACTACTTATTTACATGACTACAGGAGAAACATTAAAAAGCCAGCAAACTGAACAGACCACAGGAACTAAGTGAGCAAAAAGCTGCCTGGGGCAAGATGATGGCCCATGTTACCTTCTGAAGATCCAGCAGTATTCCGTGGGATGCATTTCTTTGCAAAGCTGTCATCTCAGGGGAATTTTCTTATTTCCTCCTACTGCCTAAGAACTCTTCCCAATTGTTGCCTAGTTCCTGCTATCATATATGGAAGCACCAAGTCACACGCAACGTATCTTCATGTCTAAGGGTTACTTTCTTCATAAACAAATGCACCAAGTCCTGTGGATATCTAAAGCACAGCTGGGTACATTGTTTTCCTATGTCATGCCACCTGGGCCAGGGACAATAGTCAGGTTATAAAACAGCCAGGAAAGTTTAAGCTTTCACCTGCTCAGTCATACCCAAGACTCCAACGAAGTCTCAGACAAGGCAAGCTTTGGCTGAGAAAGCCCAGGAGAATCACGACGAACTTTTAGTCACCATGTAGTAACCTTATTTTCACAGCAGCTGTACCCAAGTGCTTGGTTCCAGAATAGCAAGAGGACAGTCGAAGTGACTTCCTCTGTATGTTAGCAGTAGCTGGGATTTGTCAGACAGATGTCTAAGCAAGAATACCTGGTCAAGCTCTTTTTCCTAAGAGACCTAATATAACTGCAGAACACTTAAGGGGCAGGATATGTGAGAAGAATAACATTAAAACCCCCTGTGAGCGCTAAGCAGTGCAAGTCAGTCACCCAGTTTTAAAAAATTAAAACGGGATCACTATCTGCTGCTTGAAGAGGACAAATTCAAAATCCTCAGGTTCTCTGTGGCACACTCTTCAACTTTTCCTATATTAGACTTTCTCTTCTCACTACTGCAGACACTTCCACATCACCCCCAGCAGCCAAAACAGCTCCACTTAGAGATAAGAGCTTGAAAAAGGGCCTTTATAAAGCAGATTATAAAGATCACAATGAGGAGGAAGAGTAAAAATACAGCCACAAATCATTTTGAACTAGATGCTGCAGTCACTGCCTGCAGTAACACCAACTCAGAACTGTCTCAACAGCCCCACGAGGTGAGATTCCAGATATAAATTCTCCAGCTGGCCTTGCCAGTATTCTTTTGAAACACTGATGTAGCTGATGGCACTGCTAGAGAGACAGAGTCTTCATATGGGAGCACTGGTTTTGGTAGATCCAAAGGAGGCTGCTGATGTAGGAGGCTTCATCTCCAGAACTTGTGTCTCCCTGAAAGTGCGTGTTACACAGCTGTCAAAGGTGAGTCTCACACAGGAAATGAAGTTCTCCCTCATATCTTCTGGGGTCCTTCTCCTTCACACCTTCCGAGCCAAAACTACAATTCTGGAATCACGTTAGCATGTGTATGGCTTCAACTAAATCATCCACAACCCGTAAGTGAACAACAGCTAACTGCTGCCTATGCAAGCAATGCCCCTGGGATACACATGGCTGCCCTATACCAGTCTTCCACTAAACTACTTTAAACACTAAAATTCTACTTGGTTAAATGAAAGCAACAATTCAGTAACTAAAGCAGAGAACACAACGCTGCCAAACCAATCATTACAACCTCATATCCTCAGGGGATACTACGTTATCTCACCTTTCTGTTCACTATCTCCTAATACCAGAGAAATTGCCCAGAACAGTTACAGTCAAGTACCGTAACAATGCAGAAGATCCCTCACAACCATTTGCCTTCCTGGCATAGCATATTTGCATTCATTAAAACAGGCATGGGGTTTTGTAGTCGTGGCCATACTTTCAAACTCTTCTTGAGGAAATCATTTTGGAAGACTGGAACACTGAAACCCACAAGTTTCTCTAGATGAAGAAAGCCCTCTGAGACAGCTAGGAGAATGCAGCAACTCCTAACCAAGTGATAAAATGAAGGACATCTTCTCCATGCAACCCCACACTGGAGGTGACAAGACTGGCAGGCTCCATATCTGGAAGGCTGAAGATCTTTTATCAAGGTCCTCTGTGTACAAGGCAGTCTGGAGCCACAACAGCAGCACTGGCAGAACCCAACAGCTACTGCAACATTATTGGTGCCAAAGAGCTGCAGAAAATGCTCCAACTGTGCACAGTTGAAATCTTCAGTGCTGAAGCCTGTAGCAGCTTTACAGGGGCTGATGGGCCTGTTACCTGAGACAAAGTAAAGCTGGGCTGATATGCTCTATCATCCCAAGTGGACAGGAGGTATGGAAGCACAGGATGCCACAGCCCCTCAGAGCCAGGAGCTGCACTAGGTTTTCACTATTTTGAGCAACCTGGTCTAGTGGAAGGTGTCCTTGCCCATAGCAGACAGGTTGGAACTACATGAACTTGAAGGTCCCTTCCAACCAAAACCATTCTGTGATTATGAAAAAGTCAACAATCAGGTGACTTATAGTGCAAAATGAGACCCTGAGACCTCATTTTTTATTTGCATTCCAAGAAGAAATGTGTTTCCCTAGATTGGAATCCAGCTGCCTAGGAAAACATTCATGTGCAGAAAGCTGTACAAGCCTGTAATTTCTCAGAAGGTAAACAGTGTCTTCTCTATCATCCTGAGAAGTTTCTCCACCATGGATGGCATTACATGCCATGATTAAAAAATACATCCTTTTCTGACATGACCTTGCCTTCTCAGAGTTGACAACAGTTGGGATGAGACCCAGACAAAGGCAGACACAAAAAGCAGCCTTGGGTGATCAATGAAAGCCAAGCACACAGCCCAGCTCTCACTGGTTTTCTGCAAATAGGTGATGGGGAGTAAACGGGAGGGCAGGAATACGGAACAGCAGAAATACAGAACAAACACCAGTGAAAAGATGGGTTTGGAGAAATGATTTGCAGCTGTCAGGAAACTACCTACAGCAGAAGTGCTATCAAGACAAATACTGACAAGAAATGAAGAATTCTTCTAAACAAGTTTGAGAGAAAGCAGGGCAAGCATGCAATGTGTGGGCATTGCTAAGACAAGATGCTTCCAGTTTGGATGCATAAACACAGAACTATTTATGCAGTAAGTGTTTATGAGCAGCAACCCAGGTCTTGTAAGCCTGTTAACTGAAGCCAGTCTGCTCTTCATTTCTGACAGTTAAACCATCAGGTTCATACACTGAAGACAGAGAGGACATGTAGAAAACTTGCTCGTTATTTTACTTCTCTGATGAACCTTGTTTTCCAGAGAGCTGTAAACACCCCTTCACTTGCTTTTGCATCTCTGAGTTCAGGTAGGAATGCAAACCAACACGAAGAACTGGCTATGTTACTGCCCTCCTCCTCTTCACTCCCTATTTATTGACACTCTCCAGCCCTAACCTCTCACCTTTTCCAAGATGACTAGCAACCAGTATAGAAAGCAGAGAGTGAAACTTCAAGCTTCCACATCATACACTGGAGCAGCACACATGCAACCCCACATAAATCACTTACTAGGGACTTCTATAGCGGCCTCTGAATCTGCGATCTCTGCTCCTGGAACGGCTGCGTCTGCGTTCTTTGCTTCTGCTCCGTTTTCTTTCCCGGCTTCTGCTCTTTTTCCTTTCCCGATCTCGGCTCCGTTTTCGTTCCTTGCTTCTGCTCCTCTTCCTGTCATGGCTTCGACTTCGGCTCTTGCTCTTTTTTCTCCTGAGAAAGAAAAACACACCTCTGGTTACACACACAGCTCGGTGTTGCTACTTATCTCATATTCCACAGCTCTCCTAACCTGATGGCACAGACACTGACAGGAAAAGCTTTCTACTTGTTGGTATATATACAAGTTTCTTTTGGTGGTTAAGCGTGTCAGCAATCTCTCCAATTTATCATGAGCAACAAGATGAAGCGCTCAAAAGCACTTTTTTATTTAAGATTTTCTAATTGCTAAAGAATACTCCCAGGAAAAGTAGAAAGACTTAAAAAAATCATTCCTGTACATAATAAATGCAGTACTTCATGTGTCTTTCAAACATAAAGTACACCATCAAGATGCTAAGAATAAACTGTATTCTTAGAGCAAAGTAAACCAAGACACAATAAAAGTAAAAAGGAAGAGACAAGTCTGAGGAAAAGAAAAGTTTTCCCCTGACACTCCCTGACATCAGTCTTCACATATTGCCTAAGAGTTTTGCTTCCTACTTGCTACTCCCACTCACAAGCCACTTCCTCTTCTAAGTCTGCAGCTCTTACAGGTTGGAGGAAACTGCAGATCTTCATCGCTGTAACCATTCAGTTGGAAAATTTAAACTTCTTTAAATCTCTAAGTCAATTATACCCCACATGAAAACCACTGAGCCACTATCGCTCTACTTCTGGGTTATTTGCAGGTTTTTTATCTCTCCATCTCAGTCTCAGACCATAAAAACTTACGTCTCCTAGTTTAAAAACATATACCTGTGTATGCATACATAAAACATATGTTAAACAGATGCTCAAGCCAATTACTTGAAGTAATTACTACATTTGGGGAATAACCAATTTTGCTGCTTAACTTCTGAAATACACAACATCCTTTGCTACTGAATTTTTCTTCTCCTCCTTTTGGGCCTTCAGATTGCGCATAGCATCTTCTGTCAAAGTGGTCACCCAGGCACCTAACAACTTTTTATGCCACGCGCCCCCCTCTTCAAAAGGCTCATCCCTGTTACTCTCTATGGCCATGTATATACTTCTAGTGAAGTCAACTCAAAAACTGAAATGGAGAAGATGCCACAGGAGCAACATTTCTGAACAGACATAAAGGTACAACTACGAAACTAGAAAAGGAAGTGAAACTCCACACAATGACACTGCAAGACAGCAGAACTCTTGACTTTCTTCTCTTTTAGAATAACTTTCTTTTCTAAACGTAGTTTACTGTTTTTCTGAATTGTAAAGACAAACTCTGAGCATTCAGGTCCATCTTGAAAATGCAACCATGAGAAGAAAGATAACAAATGCCACTGCTCTGGTTTCAGAGAGGCTGCAGCAACTAATGAAATTAACTGAAATACATTCTACTATTCTCATCATTCTACCACAAATCAAAGGTCAGAACCATTTCTAAGATTTAAACCCCACTGCTTTTCTTTCAAATCCCAGTTTCTGTTTTGAGACTAAGCAGCTAAACAAGCGCAGAGTATTACGTATGTTAAAGTCATATAAACGTAGAACTTAAAAACATTAGGAGCAGCTGCTTTTGGTGGGGTTTTAGTACTCAGCACGAGGCTGACGTTCACAGTACTGTTCAGAACACAGAAATAATCAATTTTACATTATTAGATTCCAACTTTAGATTTGGAAAATTAGATTCCAAGTCTGCTGGATTTGGACTGCTCGTTTCTCTGGAAATAAATGTTCTTTAGATCCCCATCAGCATTGAATCTGTATGATTTCAGAAGATGACAACAACACATGTGTTGACATCTGAAGTGAGCTGTGTATTACAGACACACACTCGTTACTGTTTATTCAACTATCAAACTGACAATTATTCTTCCTACACAGAATCACAGAACAGTTAAGTTAAACTGAAGAGGTCAAAGTCTGCTCTTAAGTTAAGCAGAGGCTTAAATCCTTTCTATTTATTTGGAGTATATGACTCTTACGCAAAGCATTTTTCCTCAAATTTCTGATTTGATTCCAGACAGGTTGGGTCAGCAGCAGCGTAGAGACCCTGGAATTATGCTCGCTGAAGAAGCTGGGCTTGCACTCTGCTTCTTTAAAAAGGTTACACTAACACTTCATAAAGTTTAGATTACAAACAAAGAACTTGCAAATTTGTGTATGTGGTGGGAATAGAGGGAAAGGATCCAACACCCCAAAACCTTTCAAGGTGGCACTGTTACATTTAAATGCTTTCAACTGTTCCAAATCACATACAATTCTACACCAAATCCATTTTTAAAATGCAAAATCCACTGTTAACGCAACAAATCAGAAATTATACATGGTGAATGTACCACACCTGTACTTATCTGATGCTACTACGAAATGTTTCCACACTTTTGATGACATCAGTGACAAGGGAGTAACTACTTTTGTAAGCAAAAAAAGCATTTCCTAATCGCTGTAGTTGCAGCACTTGCAAACACCAAGCTTTTCCATTTTATACCCTTAAACACTACTGCCATGCATTGGCAAGCTTAGAAAAACCAGCAGCCACCCCCCAAATGCAGAGAACTGAGAAAACACTCACTTCTTGCTGCGTTCTTCGTGGCCATTGGCACTGCTCAATTTGTTCTCATCCTAAGCAGGGTTGATAGAAGAACATCATGAGGACGAAGCGGAAACATTTCAAGTGGTCAAAGGGTAATGGGAATAGGAATAAGAAAATACAAAACAAAAATTTTAATACTAAATTACTTGTTTGCAGTTTAATGTGGAAAGATTTAGAAAATTTAGATAGGCATATTTAACCACTTTGCTGCTTATATTTAAGTCATACAATTACAAAATACAAGACTTACATCATTTAAAAGTGTGTATTAAATTGTAGATACTTCCTTACATGGTTTAGAGAGCAAGTTATCCTGTAGAATTCAGCACTCAAGTGGTTAACTGTTATTTCTATAACATGTAAGAGGAAGTTTCAGGTTTGTGTTTGTGTGCCCCTCTGATCAGTACCAAGGCTATATGTCTGCCTAAGCCCCGGTGGCTACGCTAGCAGCAGCCACTATGGATTTCCTGTGACCGATGCCATTCCCGAGATCTTCGCTCATTTTCGTTGAAGGGTTGTAAGAGCTTGATGTCACCTCTGTCACACATCTCGCCCTGAAGCAAACAGGGATTCACACTGCTTTAGTAACGTCGACTCCCAAGAAAGTCATCAATAATCCACCAGTCCAGCCTAAACATTCCCTATTTCCATACCTGTTTACATGGAAAATATCCATGTTAAACCAGGACACAAGAATTTCAAACATAACAATTTACAAATTTCTCTTCAAGATTTTAACGTAACTGCTAAGTATTACATAAAATAATTATACCACTTAAAACTTACAAATGCTCATCCAAAATTCATGACATGGTTGTAATAAACACTGCAGAATAGACTAACAAGAGCTGCTATAAAATTTATATACTTGCTTTACAGTTTAATCACATCACTTACATCAAAAGTACAATTCCTAAGCGACTTAAACTGAATATACATTTCTTGTGAAACCAGTGCTAAAGCATGCATAATGTTAACACTTCACCACCATTTGGTGAAAAACAACAAAAGACAGTATTCATTTGCTGCTGCTCTATGGGAAAGACATCACTATGCTCATTGAGAAAAATTTTCCATTAAAAAAAAATGGACATTTCCTAATTCACAACTTGGACAGAGGAATACAAGAGCTCGTTTTAGAATGACAACTCAGACTGTGATACTGTCTTTTATGTGCTAAGAACATTCTATTCAGGGATCCAAGAATTTCCATCAATTCGTTCACTCAGCAATGGATTTTCATGTGCCCTGTTAAAAGATTAACCACCACCAGCCTTCTGCATTAAAAGCAAGTCTCACTCTTCTTGCACCGAGCAGACTGTTCAAATATTTACTTGCCATGGGACTGGTGAAAAGGTTATTCTTGGAACCCTGCTGTTTTCCCAAACCACTGCATTCACCTTGTTGCTATACCAAACTGGACCTGGCAATTTTAGGAGAGGTTTTTGTTTTCTTGGTTTTGGTTGTGGGGGGGTTGTTTTGGTTTCTTTGTGGGTAGTTTTTTTTGTTTGGTTGTTGGTTTTGGTTCTTTTTTTGTTTGTTTAAACCTAGGGGACCACGGTACAGCGATACGTCACTCAATTACTACCTTATGATTGACAGTTCACACTGGAATCAAAGGTGAATTCATGGGAGTAGAGGTGAGATATCGTTAGGCAAGTCTACAAAGAGAGATAGATGGGCATTTATTCATCACGCTGAAGTGAAACTACTGCACAATATAATTACATTAACAGCATATATTTACTTGTAAGTTACATGTAATGCATCTCCAATAAGAAAAATCATGAGGGCTCCAGGGATGTTAGTTTACAGTTCAGCAGTAGTTTCATGAATAATGCTAAATTAAGGTAAACAGGACCTCACTGGCAGATTTTTCTCACCTTCTTGTAAGGAGCTTCAAGCATTGCTTCAATATCAATATCATCAGCCATTTTTCAGGATACCTGAAAGAATCAGCAAAATCCACTTGAGAATGAAAACACCCTCGTGCTTTATATTCCAAAGGCTTTTCCTTAAGAGGCCATCAATGCATTGGCTCAAATTCACAGAGCAGTGTCTCAGATGACATTTCCAACAAGAACTGGAATGAAGCTTTGCCCAGCGAGATGAGAAAGAACGTGACACAAAGCAATTACAGCTACAGACAACAAAGTGCTACTGAACACAATTAGCCAGTGGAAACCCCAGAGGTGTTCCACCTATTTCCTTCAAAACAAAGAGCACTGATGATTTATGATACAGAAACACAGGTCTGGTGGCCATCTTGAGAACTACCAGAGCTTGACCGAAGGACTCGAGAGACATGGAAAGAACACAGTACAAACATTCAGGCAAACCTGTTCACAGCTTCCCAGCATTTGTTACCACATTTACTGAGCTGGAAACTTGTCAACACTATTGTCCTTTAAGAAATTTGGCCTCCTGCATAATGAGGGCCACAAGAGACACAGTTATGGTTCAGGCATTAAGAGCTACTGAAGCATACACAATATCCATCCAGCCTTGAACCTCAGCTGTCAGAAAGAAACCCACCATGCCATGTAACACCAATCACCACAAACGTGTTTGGGTTGTTTGTTTGTTTGTTTTAAATGGTTCCCCTTATTTTTCAACTTCAACCCCCTAATGTAATTATGCATTTACTATACTCTGAATCCCTTTGATGTTATTTCCTTTCCTGCTGCAGGTTTGCTATTGAGAACCTCTCAAGACTCTCTACATTGAAGTACAGAGACTCAAGTTCCTCAAATCTCTTAATAAAAATTTCTTTCTTGTTTGCCTTCTTAGGCTCAGAAACAGCCAGTCCTCTAAATCCAAGTCAGACAGCCCAAGAGGGAAGATTTTCCTGCATGTGTGCCATTAAAATGGATTTTTAAACATACAGGTTAGTTCTGACACCTCTGTTACAGGTATTGCTGCAGGAACTGCGCTGTTCGTAGACCTGGCCAGCAGAATGAAATCACTCCAATACTTCAAGAACCTTTAAGATGTTCACTCATAATGGAGAATATCATACCAGAGCTGCACAATGTGTAAGAATTAAGTCACTCTCCCACCCACATCTGACCACTGCTCATTAATACAATGAAGAATAAAACATTATCATTTAGCAGTATCAGAGCACTAGAAGTTCACACTCAGTTACCTCACCAAGGCATGCTAACCTCATTCTCAAAGTATTACCTCTTCGGTTATAGTAGTCTCACTTACAAACATGATCATTCTTAGTTTAATGGCTCAATTTTACTTCTTCAGCTTTTCAACTCATCTACATACATGCACATGATTTAATTCATCGCTGCTCTACCAATATTTGGTATGAACAACAAGTACCTCAGTATGATTAAGGATATGAAAAGCACCAGGCCAAACCCAGGACTCTACAACAAAATTCCCACCTGCAATGACATGTCCATACGTGCCATTTAGCCAACATATGAGCCAGCCTGCGGTGGGATCCTTCATTCCATGGAGAGATGGTGGGGGCCAGAACAGGGACCACCACGTCAGAAGTGGCACAGAAAAGTGAACAGGGAGCAGCTATTACTGCGGTCACCCGACTAGCGAGAGTGAGTAACTGTCATCCGGTGGGTTCAAAACAAAGGTTCTTATTCACACAGCATTTAGCCATGGAATTCACTGTTACAGAGCACTGGGGATGCTAACAAGGGAAAACCAAAACAAAACCCACAAAAGTTTACAGAAAAAGCTTTTCATTAAACAAAGACATGCCTTGTGACCCTGAACCACAACTATGTGACTGAGAGCACACAGAGAGAAGTATCACTGTACCACTGCCCGCTGCTTCTATTCTTTCCTAGGCATTTACTGATAGCCACCATCATAGACCAGATCCTGAGTTACATGGACCTTTGGCCTCACCCTGTGTAATCTGTGCTCTTTGTACTCTGTAACTAACACATTCATTGGTGTAATACTATGTTTTTATCAGAATACCTTCTATTCACATAACACAGACCTACCACCAACTTTAATTCATGTAATGCACATGATACCACATATAAAGTTGTTATTCTTAAATAAATAAAAATCAGGAGTCCTTATTTACTACAAATTAGTAGAAAATCGTAACAGATTTTCAAGTATGTTTCATTAATCACTGAAAAAGCAGAAAATAATTTATCAAAACCTTTTAGCTTGCTCAAAAAAAGCTGCATATGCTTGACATCTGTCACAAGAAAACAAAAACCAACCAAAAAAAACCACCCCCACAAAATCCCCAAAACAAACAAAACAAAAATAACACAAAAAAAACCCCAAAACGTCAAAACAGACAAGGGATGAACTACACTTGAGATTTTGTGGGTCTACAGAAAACCTAAAGGGGCACGAAATTTACTGCTACTGGCCTAGCCAGTACTTTGACGGCAGATTCCATCTTTTTGCTGTGTTCTACTACATAAAAGGAGTTCCTCTCCTCGACATTATTTGCTTTAGGAATTCCAGGAGATGACAATTCCACTCTCGCTTTGCAAGGAGCCTCCTGGAAAAGCATCAGGAGAGTTTAGGGAGAAGGCCGACGCTTCGGGAGGGCAGCTCTGCTCTCGCCGCACACGCACCTCTGCCCGGATGGTTCCCACCCGCATGCTCCCCCCGTGCGATCGCAATCAACGGCGTCAGGATCCCGACCACAC